ATCGTGGTTAAAGTTTCTTTATTTTTTTTTACATTGGGCAATAACAACAACGACAATAACGAAAATGACATTGACATCAAAGAACACATCAAAAATTTTTGCATGACATATAGAAGACGTATATTCCATTACAACATCAAGTACATACCCATGGAAATATTTTACATAACGCGCACACTTTCGAAAACAGCGTTAAAATCAATTACTGATTTGATCATTTAGTAGAGAGCTCTTGGCCATTTCCATTTTGGCATTGGGCCTTGACACTTTTTTATCAATTTATGTTTAATTTTTGGCACAGCATTATCACTTTTCGTTTCTTTTAATTCTGTATATATTTATTTAGGATGGTTTAAAAAATAGTGTGGCTGTCGAAATGGATGTTTCTTTATTGTTTGTCAGTGAGGCGAGTGTAATTTGAAATATATATTTTTTATGGTCTTTGTCTGAATGAAGCTTTTCTGGTCAGTGTGGGTCCTGGCGTTTTTTGGGTGTTAGTCGTTCGTTGTTCAGTGGTGTAGGAGGTCCTGGCAGGACTCAGTCTCTGCCACAGCTTCAGATTCAGCGTTCTCCTCGGCTGAGCGTGCTTTACGTGTAAGCGCAGCACCAAGCGCACTAGTTGACGCCTAAACGTCTACTACGAAATGCGTTTGTTGTAGCGAACCCCAATTTCGAAAAATTCCAAATGGCGGCACACTCACACTCTTGCACACACACACTCAAATACACACACACACACAGATGTATCCTGCGAGCAGAGCAGAGCAGCAGCTGCGCAGCAGCATCCTTCGTTCTCAGCCTCAGTCTCATTTCGCTGCTGGTGATTTATGTACAAAATGGCAAAAGGCAAAAACAAAATAATACAAAATACACTCACAGCATCCCACTCACATACACACACACGCACACAAACATACATGCAGACACAGACACAATCGTATACGCATATAAAAAACACACAGTGTACTGCTGCCGCCGTCGACTTAATCCCAATAGTGTCCTGTTCAGCGGGGTGGTGGCAAGCCCTCCCATCCTGCTACTCGTCCTGGGCCCGGGTCCTCTTTATTACATAGATACTTATATACTCCTCCTGATGCTGCCCATCGGTGTGCGTGAGTGTGTGTGTGAGGCTTGCATATACACAGGCAGACTGTTGCTGCCGGCTTTCGATTTGAGTGGAAGCTTCTTGGCAACGAGACTTACTCAATTTTTCGAGTGAAAAATTTTATAGAGCATTTGCCGGATTGTCGATTTAATGATTTTTTACAGAGTTTCATGAAAAACTTGAAAAGATTTTTATGTGTTTAAGAATGCTTGTTTATATATTAAGAAATTTCAAAAGTTTCAGAAGAACTTAAACATATTTATGTTAAATGTATATATTTGAGGTCAAGACCTTTGTTTATTTAAACATAATTTCTTTAGTTTTTTAAAAACCAATTTTAACTTTAAGTTGTTAGTGGGCTTAGCCAAAAAGAGTTATAAAAATAAATACTAGAAATACCTACTTTTTTTGCAAGATCCTTTAACCCCTTTGATATTGAGTTTAAACCTTTATCAAAGTGTATTTCAGCCTCTCTAAAAACCACAGCTTAAGCAACAAACTTCTGCCGAAGGCTTACTGCAAACAAGCACTCAAAAAAGAGCGCTTTGCCGAAACTCATACACATATTTACCGGGATAAAGCTGGAGAAACAGAGTAAAGTTTCTCTGATATCTCTGGGTTTTACCTCCAAACAGCAAGGTGAGAGCAAACTCTGCCAACAGAGATAACAGAAGCAACATCAACACACAAACAGCAGCAAAAGCAACAGCAGCAGTAAAAGCAAAGGCAAAAGCTACGGCAGCAGCATAATAAAAATCCATTTTTATAGTCCCGACAGAGGCTGCGGCTGTTGCCTGTGGGACGCACCGCAGGAAAACCAACCCCACTTCTCGATAAGAAAAAAATAACAGATTTTCTGGGAGGAATAAACGGGGAGTGGTTTTCAGGGTGATGTTGTTGATGCTTCAGCTGTGCGGTGGTTGTTCCCGAAAATGTTGGAAATTTTACTGCCTGTTCAAGCTTGGTTGTTGCCGGTGATGTTGCTACTGCAAACTGCTGATGTTGCAGATTCTGTTGCAGCTGATATTGTTGCTGCTGTAGCCGATGTTGCTGCTGCTCTTGTTGAAGTTGTTGCTAATTTTTATTTTTGATGCAGTGACTTATTTCTTACATTATATTCCTATTTAGCTTCTATTTTTAGTAAGAGATATTATAATACGTTTACCTTTACTTAGATATCTCCTTTGATGTTATTGCTGATGTTGCTTTCGCTGTTATTGTCGCTGTTGCTGCTGTTGACTTTAATGTTGCTGATGTTGCTTTTGGTGTTGCCGGTGTCGCTTTTGCTGCTAAGTGATTTTGAGGGAGCACATGGAATGTTGCCATATGCCGCCATTACCATCTATATGTATGTACATCGTTACATACTCTCTACTCTCTTTGTATGCTTGTGTGAGTGTTGTTTGCGTACTACGTTTGGTACAGTCGCTGCCAGCAGCAACAACATCGACTGCTGCGCCAACTGAGGCTGCGACTGCGGCTGAGACGCAAACGGCAGCAATAATGTCCGTCCAATCTGTCCAGACGAGCAGACTTTTGACTGTGCGGGGTAACCACTTTTTTGTGCTTCACATTGCTCAGCCATCTTGATGTTATTGTTGTTGTTGTTGCTTTTGGTGTTGCCCTTGTTTGATTGCAAGCGAACAGGGTGTTTTTTAATTATAGAGAGGGCTTTTAAAAATATATGGCTTAGAACTGGGATTGATAAATAAAATAACAATTTAATTAATGGATAATTAATTGATCATTCCATTTTGTAAATTGTTTTTTGGTCATTTTTGTTTCTTACATTTTTAAAAAAGTGGCATTTATCTTTTTTAAACCTATTTCATATGTTTTTTTTAATCTTTTATTTTTATGAATATGATACCAATATTTTACATATAACTTTTTAGACTTTTATATATTTATCATGTAAAAATAAAGTCACCCTGCACTTGGCTATTTTAAAGTTGAACAAGTGTGTAAGCACATAAACAGTGAAATGGAATTAAGTTTGCATAGCAAAAGAAAATAAACTGCTAAAATTATAATAACACGGCGAGCGGCGAACGGGGGACGACAAAAAATGGAAACTAGTGTAAAGCGGCAACAACAGAAACAGCAACAATAACACACCAAATTACACACACCCACACACGAACGCACACCTATACTATTAAAAGCGCACACGGACAGGCGACAAAGCTGAAAGAAACAAAACAGGAAAAAGAGAAAACTTGGTATGTAATTTATAATATCCTTTGTCCTCTGCCGGCTTTTGTCCGCTGTGTTTTGTGAAAAGTGAAAATGTGTCTGCGTGTGTGTGTGTGTAGTTTCGGTTTTTGTGTGTGAGGGAGCTTTTGTTTGTGTGTGTCAAATACTTTGGCCCAAACACACAGACACAGTTACAGATGCACCGACTTTGCAATGTCCCTCGCATTACTTTTAGCGTTGCTTTTTCGCCGTTTGCCGTTTGTGCTGGGCAAATAGTTAAAACTAAAATAAATTTAGTTGTTGTGAGCCAACACGCACACATACACGCTGGAAAGGAAGCGGACAAAAGATAGCGCGCGACGCCATCTTTGTACTGCTTCTTCGCCGGGCGCTGATAAGTATGCTATGCTTTTCGGGCTGCTACTTCTCTTTGGCGCTTGCACTGGAAAAAATAGAATTACGCTTTAAATAATTTATCGGGAAGAAACTCTCACAAAAAGCATTGCATTTTGTTTCAAAAACTTTACATTTTCTATATTCTATTTTTTTAAAAATATATATATTTTAATGGGATAAAAATTGTAGTTTTCTCTCGATTATTGTAGTGTTTTTCATCTGCTGCTCCACCCGCTGCACGAAATCTCATTATATTTGTTTTATTTTATTTGCTGCCACGTCTTCGTCGTTTGCAGCAGCTTCTTTGCTACTTGTGCTGCTTCGTTTTTGGCTTTTATGTCTATTTCCTATGCTTTTGGGCAAAAGTACTTCTCTGCGCACGTAACTAACTTCTTTGGCCGTTCGGCCACCAATCCCGTTAACTCATCTTGCGACAGGAGACCCGCCAACCACTCCAACTTTGGAGCGTCCCGGCATTGTCATCTACTTACTTACTACTTAATGCGTGCTTAGTTATTGTTTTAGTGTGGCCTTTTGTCTTGAAATTATTAACAATGGACGTTGCCAAGTGAAAGGTGCTTCTGTCTTTGGCGAAGGGATTTGGTTGGTGGGTTGATGGTGGTGGAGAAAGCGGAGGGGGAAAAGCGGTGGAAAACAAGAGCAGCGGTAATAGCATTTAATGCACCTGCCCAAACACACTCAAACCCACGCATACACACCTGCATTTAAGTTGCTTTGTTCTGCCAGGGCATTGTCTTCACTCACACAGACTCAAATCCCACCCACACACACTCCCGCACTCACACTAACAGCCAGCAACACAAACACTTCAGAGACACCATCATCATCATCATTATCGTCATCATCAGGGGCATGATTATTTTGATTGTAAGCGGCTTTATAAATGCTTCATTTTGCGTGTGTTTGTTCATTATTTATTTACTTTTAGTACCGCTTAATTTTCACTCTCTGCCGAACCACTTTTCCATCTTTCTTTCTCTCCGCAGAACACTAAGCTAATGATCTAATTTCATATTTATATCCAGCTTATTTCCATTAAAATGGTGGCGCATTTAAATATTGCATTTCGCATTACAACATGTAATATTTCATTTCCGTTTTTAGCTGTTGAATGGTTTTTGAAGCTGAGGAAATAAATGCTTAATATGTAAGTGGGAACTTGTATTTTGTTTTAAAAAATGTTTTACATTTATTTTGAATTTATATACTTATTGTTTAAGTAAGATTTTTAAGTCAAACGAATTTGAAAAATTACCAGAACATGAACGATTTTTTTTAGTCCAAGCCTTTTATAGGCAACAATGCCTAATACGTCAAAATCGGATTAGTAGTAGAGCCCCCATAGAAAATTATAAAAAAACAAAAGTGAACATCTCGTTGGTAATAGCAATAACCGCACTCTCGATTCAAGGCGACAAGATATCGATTTAGGAATCCAGGGGGCGAAAAGATGGACCAACAGACGAAATCCGCGGGTCGAGTTCGTAACACTTCGCTGAATTTGGAAAACCAGCTAATCGGCGGCAAATATCGGGTGGTGAGGCCAATAGGATCTGGTTCCTTCGGAGATATATATCTTGGATTGAGCCTGAAGGATGCCACTGAGGTGGCCATCAAGGTGGAGACGACCGACACCAAATATCCGCAGCTGATGTACGAGGCGAAGGTTTACGAACAGCTGATCCGCAGTCCAGGATTCCCAGCACTTCTTCACTATGGCAAGGAAAAGCAGTTCAATGCCATGGTGATAGAGCTTTTGGGTCCTTCCCTGGAGGAGCTCTTCAACGTTTGCAAGCGCCGATTCTCACTGAAAACCGTCATAATGCTAACCGACCAACTTCTAATGCGATTGGAGTGCGTTCATGACCACGGATTTATCCATCGGGACGTGAAACCCGATAACTTTCTTATGGGTCTGGGCAACCACTGCAGTAAGCTGTACCTCATTGATTTTGGTCTTTCCAAGAGGTACAGGGAACGCGAATCGGAGGTACATATCCCATATCGCAGGGATCGCAATCTTACGGGCACCGTTCGCTATGCCTCCATAAATGCCCAAATGGGAGTGGAGCAATCTCGACGCGATGATCTGGAATCCCTGTGCTACTGCGTCATGTACTTTAATCTGGGAAAATTACCCTGGCAGGGAATCACAGCTGTCAACAAGAAGCAAAAGTATGAAAGGATATTGGAGAAAAAGAATAGCGTTTCGATTTCAGAACTATGCAAAGGATTTCCCTCCGAGTTTTCTCTGTTTATGAGCTATGTTCGAAATCTTCGCTTCAAGGAACCTCCAGATTATGTTTACCTACGCCAACTTTTCCGCATACTCATGCGTTCTCTTAAATATGAAAACGATTCCATTTTCGATTGGACACAGCTGCAGCAGCAAAAGGAGCAGTTGCGCCGAAACAAGGAAAGGGAGCAGGAGGTGAATCGGGATCGAGATGTGGAGCGTCGCCGGGAAAAGGAGCGTCTTAGGCAGCGGGAACAGGATCATGTCCGCAGGACATCCACCCAACAAGCAGAACGATCCTTTGGACGCCTCACAAGCAGATTTGATCGCATTGGCGATGGAGCCAAACGAAAGTAAACAACTATCTGTATCATATATCAAAATTAGTTCCATTTAAAAGTTATGCGGTTCACGTTGGAATCCCAGTTTAGGTGGTTTTATTTTGCAAGTGGAAATTCAAGTGCCAACTCCAAGGGGATTTATCGGTTAAACAAATGATAAGCCGTACATATAAAACATATATTTTATATTGGATATTTGGCATTTTTCGAATTTTTATTAAAGTTTTTTTCTTGAAAGTTGTAATAACTATTGAGAAATACCTACTTATATTCAGCCAGCCTACTTACAGTGCTCATCTCATGTTGATTTATATTCCTATTCATCTTCACGTTAATTATGTAGCAGTTAACGCTTTACAAAATACTCCTTAGACACTCAAGTCAATTGAATAGTCCCTGGCCAAGGTTGTTCCCCTGGGAAGGCGTCTTTGTAAGTTTTCCATTAGGATGGAACCCCTCCCACGAAACCGGAACTCTGGCAACTTAATAAACTGTCAAATTGTCATGTAAACGGGACAAAGCTGCCAACCTAAAGTTTTTTACCTCTCAGCCAAATAGAAGGTGGGTTTACTTACGCTACTTATTTATTGAGTGGCGGCCAGAAGAAGAGTGGAGTAAAACATTCTCAAGTTATGCGAAAACAAAATAAATTTCATAGTAGTGAAAACCGCAAAAAAACATTTTATTAGTTTCTTCTCTTGTCCGTTTTTGTGGCAGCAAAAATAAGTGGAAAAGTTTCGTTTTATTTTCTATATATAGTCTTCCTGCGATGGCTTTGCTTAAAGACAGGGTCGCGACTTGGCACCTGGTGCCAAATTAAATTCCCCAGCTGCACAACTGAGACAGAGATGCAGACAGAGACAGAGATGGATAAAGAGAATGAGAGAGAGAGAGAGAGAGAGGAATGCTGGCTATGAAAGAAACGGAAATAAAACTACATGGCTATGACAGACTGGCAACTTCAATAATTTATGATGCAGCAGCCAAAGGAGAAAACAGCGCCGGAATCATTTTGCCATTTGGAGTAATTTTTCTTTTAGCACTCATCCTCCGATTTCCTCCTGTTGCGAAACTTTCCCGAGAAACAGAAAACATAATTAAGTGTTGTCTTGAGTTGGGTGCATAGTTGACATGACAAACAGTTGATTCACAAATAAAAAAAGGCGAACTGAATAACGTTTCGAAATCAGAAAATTGGGAATTCCCTTACAGAAAATAGTTGAAAATCCAGGAGAAGCGGTCGAGAACAATGTGGCTAATAAAGCGAACCAAATGGCAAAGTGGAGAACTGAATGCCAGACAATGTGGCTCCTTGGTGCTCCGTCTACAGCTTCCATCACCTTTCGCGTATCCTGGCAATGACAGTTGGCATGTCAGCATATGATAAATTGTTCAGCCGACAGGTGACTCGAATGTTATGGAAATTTCAAAGCCAGGACCTGGCAGCAGCTCTCCCCCTTCTACAGGGCAAACAGATACTTCGAGTCGGTAATGTAATTGCACATTTCGTTGTGTGAATGCTAAAAGAGGTGTTTATTTAATTTGCCGACTGAATGTGTCTACGTGAATGCCATCCGCCTGCTCAAAGTTTGTCCAATTTGATGTGACAATTTCCAGCATTTTGCACTCGAAAGGAAAATAGTTGGAAATGGCGTGGCGTCCATGGAATATAAATGGCCTGGACTTGAATGCAAATTTTCGAAGCCTTGCTAGATGTGAACTGAATGGAGTGACATTCCGAAGTTAAAATGCAAACTCGAATGCCTTCTGAAGGACCTTCAGCGAATGTGACGCCATTAAAAAGGGTAAAGTGACAAATATTAAAAATAACAACTCGGGAATCGCAATTCTTTCCGAATAAGTCAGAAAATTTCCCTTTAAAATGCATTTTCAAAAGTAAGAAATTTAAAAGTACCTTGTACGAAAATAATATTTTATTGCAAGTCCGCTCATAATATTTATGAAAAAGCAAAGTGGTTTTCAGCGTTCGTTGGCAAAGCTTTTGAAATCTGCTAAAATCCGCTTTAATCCATATTTGAACTATGTTCGTTGCCGTCGTTGGACATCCATTAGGAATTGTTGTGCCGCACAACCCACTTAATCCTTGCAAAGTGTTGTGCTGAAAAATTGCAAAACTAATCTATCGAACAGCCCTGGTCCTTTCGTCAACCGCATCCGCACAGGTAAACCATTAACATCAACAGTGAGCTGGTTAAATACAATGACGCAGAGGAGGTGGAAAGTTGTTGAAGCAGCCGTACTTTAGCAGCGTTTATTTTCAGCATTAACTAAAAACGTGGCAGCGAGATAATGGAAAGCCAAAAGCAAAGCCAGACACCGCAGCAGCAAAAGCAGCTCTTAACTTTTAGCGGTAGCCTCAAAGTTTCCACTCAAATAATTGCTTTTACTGGCACTAATAGATGGGGATTCCCAAAAGTGGGCGAAACACCCACACTCTGCCACTCCCCCTTTTTTTGAGCTGCCCCTCAAAAAGAGCTGCAGCATAATCCATTTGCCCAGATAAGTCGCAAACACGAACCGAAATGCCTCGATTCCCAGTTCCTTTTGTCGGGATCTTAACTTAACTTTGTTCTGTTTTTAGTTTCACATGCGCTCTGAATTATTTATCGGTTGTTTTGTGAACAGAACCGAAGTAATTATGTGCAACGCAGCGTATGCGCAATGTTAAGACACGGAAAAGACATGAAAATTAATTAGTTTACCAACAGCGATTGGTTGTCCGCAGGTGTTCTATAATCGATTTGCGGCTTACCTTTGAGTGCACACTAAAAGCAAATCCAGGCGAAATTAAAATTGATATTGACTAATGGAACGTTTATTAAAATTAATTTAAAATGTACATGTAGGTAAACCAATTCTTAGTGCTGTGATTGTAACTTTACTTGTCTTTTAAAATATTTTTCATAAAGCTTTGGATTTATTTTCCTTAAAAAGTATAAAAACTTATGCTTTAAAATATAATAAAACAAACAAAAGCCGCCTTGAAACAGTATCAGTTTAATTGTATCAGTCTGTCCATATTTGATATTATTTCGTGCTGTGCCGACACCACCCAAACAGATATTTCCTTAAGCAGATTTCATCGTCGATTGGTCGAAAATTGCACGAAATGAAATGAAAAACCCATCAAAGTGGTCGGAAAGGCTGAATGGGAGATCCCCGAAACGGAGCCTCCTGCTGTCTAAACAAAGGGCAGACTCAGCATGGGATGTACACACGAATCGAATGTCATTAAAGCGATGGCCCAGGGAGTCGAGGATGACTGACTGACTGTCTAAAAAATATAGGAATCGTTGGGCAGAGTGCGGAGGCATCATGTTGAGAGCTCATTAAAACGAATACGAATTTAATGGTACTTAAAGCGGAAATTGCCTGGCAAGTTTCCGCCATGGTGAGCACACAAGCAGCCGCAGCAACACACAGATACGGATTCGCCGAGGAGCGGTGCAGGAACTAAGCGGCAAAGCAAAGCTTAGCCAAGCCGATTCCATCCAGTTGCTTGCCAACTTAGATCGAAGTGCCAAGACAAGGAGCAGCAGCAACAAAGCTCTTACGAGCTGGAAAACTATTAGTGGCAACAGCATCAGCAGAAGGTAAACCATCCAATGCACACAGAAAGGAAAATGTTTTGAATACAAAAAAAAAATATAAGAGCCTTTTTCTGAAATTTTATAAATTTAATTGTAGTTATTTTTAAAGTGTTATTTTTTAAGTATCCTATTAACAAATAAAACATTAGATTTTTCATAATTTATCGTTATAATAAACAACAAAAGTCTTGAGCATGTAAGGGGTATCAAATTATAATCTAAAGACAGCATAAAAATACACATATTTTTTTTGGTGCAGAAAACACCTTTCTAACTCTGAAGCGAGCCAGACCAGGTGCTCACCTATGAGTGGCTCTTACTTTTAACTCGACTTATTCTCCTGCTACTTTTTTTGAGCAGAATGAAGCCATTGAACTGAGGAAAAAACAAAAGCAAAATGTAAGCAAAATCCTTTGTTAATTAAAACGCCCAAAAATTTGTAAAAGAGATACGAGGATGAAAAAATGCTACCCTTTGTTTACATTTGTAAAACGAACTTGCTATATTAATTTTTTCATTGCAGATTGTTATCTATTGTTACAACCGGCTACATTAAATGCATAAAAAGTATGAAGCCCAAGTCAAGCGTAAATTGGAATTCATTTAAAACTTGTTATATTTGCGCTTGTTGACTATAAACAAATTTTAATAAAGTTCAAAAAGAACGGCAAAACCTTTTAAACTTTTTTAGTAATACAAAAGTTATGAGTTTTTCTCGCATTTGTATTAAATAAATTTCAAATATTAAATATTGTATTTGCTTACCTAAAAATAATAAAAAAAAAACCTGTACTAAAAATAAAGAAAATTTATCAAAGAAAGGCAACAGTGTGTGAATACTGCGACGCCATTTTGAGAAGCACAAAAGTATGCTTTAATTGAATGTTTGTTAGCCCGACCCACAACATCCTTCTACTTCCTTCCACTCTCCTTTAGCACAGGCAACAAAATGTTTGAACATTTTCCGCACATATGCATGTCAGTGGCGCCCATAATGGCAATACCATTCCATGTACTTTGAGTTTTCAATTTCAGCTTTTTGCCAGCCGAATTGCCGAAACAGTGGGCGGTGGAAAGCATACAAGTGGGAGTGAGCAAATGGAGACTGTGTCCTAGGAGCTTTTTGCACCCATCTGCCTGAAGTTCTCATGCAAACATATCGAGTGTTTAAAGAATTTTTGATACCCATGTTTTAACCAAAAAAGGTTTTGATAAGAAAAAGATATTACGACAGAAAAGGGATCTTTCAAAGAAAATAAAACTACTTTTATTTTAACTTTAGTTTTTTTTTACTTTAAACTAGCGTTTATTTAAAATATAACTTTAATAAACAAAAACTCAAAGCTTATTAGTGTTTTTATATGTTCCTTTGCTTTTCATATATTTTCGAACAAGGTTTTTAAAACTAAGACCCTTTTACTCCCATTAAATCTGCAAAGACTGAGTATTAAAACGAAGCCATCATCAACTTTC